ATCCCCTTGTGGCCATGGAGGTTCAAATGCAGTGACTCCGGGCTATCTGCAAAGCAAGTGGTCGCCCTGTGATTAGTCGGCTCGCATAGCGGGTTGGATATCCAGACTAATAAAAAAAATTAGGTTTCACTCTATCTAAGAATTTAATGTTAAGGGCGAGTTTTCGAGCTTGGTTTCTTCAGCCCTAAGAATTCAAGTTTTAGATACATCGGAATTTGGTATTACATAATTCAGAATCAGAGTCGACCAGTTGTTTGGGTTGCCAACAGAAATGCTCCAATTTCCGGTGATTCTGGTGTTTTTAACAGTAATCTAACAGTGATGCTCATGGACACCGGAATCTGGCTCTGTCGATGGTTGAGAACGCCGGTAGGGTTCCTAATATTTGTCATCGGAGACGGTTGCTTTAATTGAGAATTGGAGATGAAGATGGAGACACGATGGAGATGCCGTGTAGGGATTTTGTCTTGGAAATAAGGAAGTGTTTTTTAACATTATTAACGGAAGAAAATCATCAATAATATAATAAAATGAAAGATTCCTATTCTATTTTATTATCATTATCAATTTCATTTTCATTCCTTGAAATGAACCAAACGTCCCATAAATATTTTTTTAGTTACGTCTATTCAACCACATTTCAAATTGCCCACAACAAACCATGAAAACGTGATAATTGTAGACCTCGTGAAAAATACCTTAAAAAAACAACTATAAACCTGCAAGAATGCTGAAACTCGTGACTTAATCTACGTTTTCATCCTTTTTATTCAATGTCTATGTAATATATAGAGGTGTTTGGGATTGCTTATAAAAACAACTTATTGACTTATTCCGATGTGTCACCGGTAATAAACACTTTTGAGTGTTTGGATAAAAAACTTATACCGGTGCCAAACCGGTATAAGGAGTTTTTTTTTTTTGAAAAAGTTAAACACTTCTGACTTGTAATAAGTTGATAATTGATTTTGTAGAAAAACATAAGTTGTTTTAGATAAACAATCCCAAACATCCCTATAAATGAATGAACATACAAGACATGATTGTTAAATTAAAAATATTCGATTTTATAATATTTCTTTGATTCAAAAATTTATTATAATTTAAATATTTTTATTTAAAATAAATATAATTATATTAGATTTAGAAAATAAAAGGGTTATTTGATTGTAATTGACAAAAGCTCTTCTTGTACTTTTTTATTATTTTACAACCGTCTTGATTCACAAATGTTTAGATATATTTTATTGAAAATAAATATTTACATATATCATTGCATTAAATATATAATTAATTAATATATAAACTCATGAAAATTAATTTATATAATTCAACGAGTTATAATTTAAATTATGATTATAAGATTTTTTTTTAGAATTTTTAATTCGGGAGACCGAAGACTATTATATCATGTACCATTTTATATGGATTTTTTATTTATGCTTAGAATTTAATATTGTGATTAATATATATTTATTTTGTAGATATTCGATTTATAATGTGAACTTTTTTAGTGTGTTTATAAAACAACAATATATGTTAAAAAATTACATATTGTGAATCAAATACTTGTGAACTAAACATGTTGTGAAATATATATATATATATATATATATATATATATATATATATATATATATACTAGAAGAGTACTCGCGCAAT